TTCTCCCAGAGTGAGTTGAATCCTTTTGGTGCCTCAGATGCTCCCCTTCCAGACCCTGCAGCTCATGTGTAATATTTATTAAAGAAAATAAAAAATGGATAACGGTACTCCTAAACATGATGAGAACATGGGCATAAACAACACCAACCCAGCCCTCCAAAATCTTTCCCGCAGATCTCAATTGGACAACATAACCAGACAGAGTAATCCACCGTTACTGGACCCACCAGTGATGTGTTTCAGGGGTAGGCCCCCTTCCTCAGAGCTTTGTGGGAAAGATCTTTGGGTGCTGGATTGATGTTATTTACGCCCATGTCCACACGGAGAAGGTGCCTTTTTCTGATTGACAAGCTGCAGTGTCCATGCTGAAAGGCATCTCTGTACAACATTTTTTCACCCCACTGTAGTGAAAGCAGACAGCCTACATGAGAGAGTGTCACATCATCACAGGAAATTGCATTAGGTGAACTTCACTGGAAGGCTTAGCAGCTATTTGTGGGACTTTGCAGATGGAATAAAAGAAAACCGTAGTGCAGTGGGAGCCCATGCTTGTACTTTAATGTGACCATTTACTGTGCCCACACAGCACAAACTAACAGGGTCAATAAACACTATCCCCTTTCCTTTGCAAACCTCACCTGACTATTTTTAAGGCTTATTTTGAAAGTTTTGGTGTAAACAGAGCTCAGGGGCATTAATCCTAATTTACTAAAGAGAATCTTCACTGACTTCAATTACCCAATCGTGTGACAATTCCAATAATTATTTCTGGATAGTCAAAAGACAGTAGTGGACACCCCAGGGTGAGTACATGTAATCGCACTATGGACAGACAATTTCTTAATATTTTTGCACATGATTGGAATTACAGGCATACATTTTATTAACCCTTACAGTGGGGCTACATCCGCACTGCAAGGGTTAGCTGTTCTCTTTTGCCTTGGGTCACCAAAAAAAAAAAGAACCCCGAGCAGACCAGTTCTTAGACAGGTCACTAGAGTGTCTCTCCCCCTTCTTTGCAGTTGTCTCACATCCAATACAGCGTATAGTATGCGAGGACGCCAAGGGACAGACCATCACTGGAGTGGAGGAGGGAGTGCTGCTGGCTCCAAGGATCAGCTGAGTTTAACTTTTTTTGTTGGAACCTAGACACAAATGAGCAGTTAACCCTTACAGTGCGTCCCCGATGCAAGTGTCAATAACTTTCTCCGGAGTTCTGCTTTAAAGTGAACACACCTACAACGTATTGAATGAAAATTCAGAACTACTTTAGCATATGAACCCTAATTGTTCCTATGCACACCATTGTAACTTTGTTGGAATTGTTTTCATAGTCAAAAAGAAAACGTGAAACTGTATAAGGGGACAACTGCTCATTAGAACTCTGTCCACTTTTCCTTCACGACTGTATTTTCGATTTGAATTCTATACAGGGAAACGTTACTCTTGTGATAACCCTTTATATTTGTAATAGAACGTCTCCTCCTTTCTATCTCATCAATCTGGGAGCTGTATAACCCCGTTCACTCTCACAGTAATCACTCATTACGACACCCTGTATACCCGCCCACATCAACCTCGCCGTCAGTTTCCAGTCACGGCTGACGTAGAATCACGTGTTCTAGTCACCTTGGCAGACAGGAAGGGCTTTGGAGGCACAGTTCCGGCGGGGGGTTAAGTCCTAGCTGCTGTTTCCGGTTTGCTCTGCGTGAGTGCTGTTAGTTGGAGAAGAGAAGATGGTTCCTCCCGTGCAAGTATCTCCGCTTATCAGGGTGAGTGTGGGCCGCTACTAAATGCAGTGTTGTCTGCATCTGAGAATGACGGCTCACCAGAGCTCGGGGGCAGCCTGTGTCCTCGGACTGCCGGGTGAAGGTGACATTAAGGCCGCTGCCTCTATCCTCTGCTCAGTCATGCAGGGGTCATTCGGTGCTCTAATATGAACATCCTTTACGTTACTGAAGAGGTTGTTATAGACATGGAGTACCAGTTCTTTGTAATACAGATGTGTCATCAGAAGCTTTAGAGCAGACATGTCATAAATGACAGCTTCTACTTACTAGTTCCAATCAGTGCAATCATCACAAGGCTGCCATGAAAGGTATACTGCCACTGGTATACATGCACATTATGGCAAACGCTTCAGGACCAGCTTCAGCTAATGCCCCCTCCTCATGTTGCCAAGCTTTAGTTTGCTGGCTTGTCATCTACTCTTAGTGGAGAGCCAGTAAATGGTGTTAGAAAAGGAAAAGCTATTGGTGATATGTAAATGATGGAGATCTGTCTGGCTTCATCATTCAAGATCCAGCAGGTGATCATTCTTTATACAAATGTATTTAAATGCATTGAGGGCCCATTCACACTTGTGCACTATGGTAACACGCATGGTATTGCACTTTACCTGTTCTATTGTGCATTTATTTGTTCATTGTGCTTTGGCAGACCATTGATAGTGGTCTGCCTTAGTGCAATACACGTCAATGCAACGCTAACGTGAGAATACAGCCTGATGGTTCAGTATAGACTCAGGAATCATAGGACATTTGTTTTGTAATATTGTACAGGACCTTACAACAAAGTCCAAATCCCATTCGCACTGCCACGGTCTCAAAACCACAAGGTATATGTGCTGCCCAAGTGACCACACGGATGGCGCCGTGCAAAACACTAATGGTAAATAAAAGTAATTCACCGGCACACACTTGAAGGATTTTTAGAGTATTGGTATGTTTATTCAATACCCAATGTCACATTGAGGATTGAATAAACATATCAATACTTTAAAAACCCTTCAAGTGTGTGCCTGTGAATTACTTTTATTTACTATTATTGTACAGAACCTGTCAGCAGATAAAATGTTTTAGCATTTCTTTGACAGCAGTTTCAGCCAGGTGACTGCGCACAACTTCGTTTTATTCCAGAACCACCTCCGTACACTGGGTTCCTCAATTTTGCATGTGTACGCTACGTTTGTCTCAACTTACAGGTTAAAAGTGACACTAAACTCAGGAGTTAAATCTTAAAAAAGTATTCCAGTTCTTTATCTTATTTGTGTATCACTCGGATGTAGATCCTCAAATCATCTCTGAATTGGTGCTGACACTGTCCTTCCTTCTGGAGGGTGGCTACTTTTGTCCCCCATGGTCCCTGTTTATGTTGTAAAGTAGCCACCGGTCCAAGTTCACTCTGGGATGGACTACAATCTCAATACAAATTAGTAATGTAAGGTTGTAGTCCATCATAGGAGTGAGCTGGGAACTGTGGCTACTTTACAACACACACAAGGACCATGGGGAACAAATGTAGCCACCCTCCAGAAGCAAGTACAGTGTCAACACCAATTCAGAGAGGATTTGAGGATCTCCATCGGGTGATACAGAAATAAGATACATTTTTGTTATTAGTTAAGTTACTTGAAAGCATTTTTAAGATTTAACTCCTGAGTTTAGTGTCACTTTAAATTTACAACTGTCAGACACTCTGCCAATTCATAGTCCATACCTTTCCACTTGTTAATGAGTGCCATAGTGAACAGAATGCTTTACATTATGGAATTCAGAAAATATATGGACTGTACAACAGCCAAGTCAAGTAGCGGATTGTCTTATGGACTTTAAAGTTTATTTTTACTTTTGTAGTCCAAATTTGGGAAAACCCCTTTAAATGTTTATGTTCCCATTCACCCTGGATACCTAAAATCATTTTTAAAGACTATTTCTTATGTTTTAACTGTTTCTTTGGTGAAGGTCTTGTGCAGATTCCAATCATACTTTGAGCAGTGTGAAAGTTCAGGGGCAGACTGAGCTTCCCCTCATTAATATACAATGTTTCTAATCCTTTACCCTTTGTTAGGACAATGTTCAAATCTAGCTTACATCTGATAGTGAAATCTGCCAGCACAGTACAGACAGGGTTAATTAGGGTGAACATAACTTCCCACAGCCCCCTCCATTGTGCAAACTAGGTAGGATTTTTAAGCAAGTAAAAAGCACTTAGCAATTTTCAAATATTATGTTACACTATGTGAGTGACACACAATTATGAAATAGTTGTTCTCACAATTTTGGGACAAAAGTGGAAATACTTTAAATGTGACCTGTACCCATGTACTAACATTCTACTTTCTGCATCCCCTCTCCAACATTCCATGCAGAAAGCATCCAGTCTAAAGTCACCCTTGCCCATTACAGTATATTTGTACAGTGTCCTTTGGCTGTACCAACCACTGTGTTGTGCAAAGACCTGCCTGATTATATACCAATTAAATATGTTCATGGTAGGCCCTAAAGGATGTGCTACAAAAATTGGCCAGCTTTACACTTAACTGAGGTGGTTGTGGGCTCCCTTAACTTGGGTCCCAGTGTTGCTTCACGTGCTCTGCTGCAGCAGTGGCATGTTATCTGTGTACAGCACGGATGCTGATTAGCTGCCTCTCACTTAGAAGCCTACTGTGCTGGACGGAGCCCAAGATTTTTGTCAGGCAACTATAAGGCCCCATTCACACGTAGGCGTATTGTAATATGCGCGTATGTCGCGCGGTTTTTTTACCGCGATTCGCGGTAAACAAGGCACGCGACCCCGAAGGCTACTTGGCTGTATCCCAATGGAAAACGCCCTACAAAACGGCCCAAAGTAGTACCTGGACCTTTTCAAGCATGGGCCGTTTTGTAGGGTGTTAGGGACGGGTGGGAACGAGACCATTGACTACAATGCAATGTATATTTTTGACCGTTTTGTAGAGCGTTCGCCGAGCGTAGAACGCGCTACAAAACGGTCAGGTGTGAACGAGGGCTAAGAGAAGATGATTTTAGCATATACATTCTAAGACAGCAGGAAGCATGGGGAATACAGGGCAGTTGTTTAACAAGCTTAGAACAGAGTTGACTTTGGCTGATGTAAAGATTGCCCTACAGTCTAGCATTTGCCAAATAAAAGCTGGAAAGAGATCTGCCTTGCTACATGTGTGTCTGTCTTTAATCATTCTCTAACTGTATTATTATTTTAGTTTAGCAGATATTCCGCATTACTGGCTGGGATTATGTATGGCAGGTCCAGACTTGGTAAGTTTTTAAACAATATATTAAAATGGGGACACTTTCTCCTCTTCAAACTTTGTTTACCTTTTTGAGTGACTGATAAAAAGTTCTTGCAAAGTCTGAAAGCAGTTTCCTGCTTTACTTTTATCCCCAGCAGTATAGCTGGAGAGATGGAAGTTTTAATCTTGTCCACGCAGAATGACAGAAAACCATGTCATGATCCGAGTGGATGGCAATTACATACAGATTTCTGAAGTCAAGTGTGGGCAGCTTTGGTAACCCATGTCTAAATTGATAGTGTCATGCCTGGCATATAACAGTATTACTGGTCACATGCCTGAAATACAACAGAATCATTGGTCATAGGTGAAGCTCATTGAAGGGCAAGAAAGAAGTTCTGGTCTCTGTGACATTTTGTTTCATCTTATTTCAGAGTGACCTGGACATTCATCGTATCAAAATTGAGCTGTAAGACAAAGTAGGAAAGACTCATTATGCAGTACAATCTCATTCCACTTTTTGGAACTTCATCTAGTTGGCGTTGCTTAACCCAGCTTACACCGTTCCAGCAGCTTGACGAGCTCTTTTGCTGATCCAGGAACTATAACGAAATGCACATTTTTTTTCTTTTACCCATTCAGTACTTACAGCTGAACTCCAGGCACATAAACTTTCAAATATATTTCTTAGTGGCAAAAAAGGATACAAATCCACTTTGTGAATCTAAAGCTGTTGCAAACCCAGAGATCCTTGTATGAGTAGTGGTGACATCATCATTGTACTGCACATAGTCTGTGCATATATCAGAGCTGTGGGTGGGATCCAGCAGGCCCAGCCTCTACAGGCTGCCTGCAGGAAGCTACAGGGGGGATGGTTACCAGACCATTTACCCTATACAACGTGAGAGAGCAGCAGTGACTGGTCCACAATACAGAAAACTCATGCACAGAGGAAAAGTGTAGGAGATATTTCATGCTGGGACACAAGACACAAAGGACACAGATTCAAGTACACATGGCTTTTGTATTTTCACAATATACATTTTTGTCTTGATTTTAGTTTTAAAGAAGAATTCTGGGCAGAAATGTTATTAACCCTTGCAATGGGGCTACCCACTCACTGTAAGAGTTAAGTGCTCATTTTTGCCTAGGGTAAACAAAAGTTACTTTTTGCCTTGTTTTTAGAGCTGGCCAGCTCTTAGACAGGTCCCTAAAGTGTCTCTCTACCTCCTATTAAAGTGGTCTAGGAATCCTCGAGTCATCACATCCAATACAGGGTATGGGACATGAGGATGCCAAGGCACTGCAACAGAGGAGGAGAGCCTCCTAACCATTTACTTTTTATTTCCTCCTTTTTGGTTAGTTCAATATATAACTGAAAGCATTTGTGATAACTGTTAAGTGCAAATAATACCTGTTGTTCCCTTGCCACACCATTCCTTTGGAGTTTAGTTCTGGACTTTATACACATCCAAGGCTTGGTAAATTTGTATATAAATCCCCAGAATGAACAACTCGTGAGCAGTTTTATCAAGCCATTTTTTTCTCATAGCCTTGGATGAAGAATCCCACTTTCAGTTGGCCTGTTCACACATGAGCATTGTGTCACCTCAAAAAAGTGCATGAGTTTATATGGGGCAGAATTGTGTACTTTTGGCCCATAGATTGTGCATATAAGGGACGATATCACGTCAAATAATGGGGAAGACGTGGAAACTCTATGGCTGGAGCTAGATATGACGGACGCTAGCCGTAAACTTCTCGTGGGTATTTGCTATAAACCTCCAAATATAGGGGAAGAAAATGGGAGTGTGTTCGCTCATCAGTGCTTATTGTTTGTGTATGTATAGCTAAAACATTTTGTTTTTTGTTCATTGAGGTACACAAGAATGCATACACAGTAGGGGTATACTACCTCTTACAGAACAGAAAAATTGTTAGTCAGCCCCAGTATAGCTTTTTTTGCTAGTATCCTGGGAGGGTGGCGTCTTTTCTGTAGCTCCTTTTTTCTTTTTCCTTTTTTTTCCCCTTTTATATGGGGATTGCTCTTCCATTGACTTCAGTGAAGATTCCCTCTGTATCACTTTCTGGGTCCAGAACCATTGCACTGCCCCAGGTGGGGCTTTGTCTCTATAGACTCGCTTATTGAGTAAGGGCCATCAGGTTGAAGCACTGGGAGATAATGCCGTTCTCACAACGTTTGACTGCCATTTCAAATGTCCTCTCACTTTGGTAAGGGTTAATGCTTAGGGGCTCACCGCTGACGCAATATGCTTGGGGAGTGTCAAGTACGTGCTCCTTGTGTTTGCCGCCAATCAGTGTGAGAGAAAACATCACCCTGCGGCTCCTGCTTGCAGGCAACCTCATAGTATTCCGATTCATTACCTATACCCTCCCACAGTAAACTGGTCACATCTGGCCATCCAACCCTTATTAGTGCCAGCTGCCTTGGCTTTATATGCAGGCCTTACCTTGCACTTAAGGCCTAATTGCATTACTGCTAAATTGCTAAATACCCACAACCTGTCTGCACAGAGGTCCTCTGAAGGAACCGGTGCCAGTAATCTGGAGC